GTTTTAATAGAACATGCAAGAGTAAATAAACCATGAGAAAATAAACTGTCTTAGTTACTTTTTCAGTGCTGAGACAAAATACCCAGTACCCAAAATTAAAGACAAAAGATTTAGTTGGCTTATAATTTGTAGAAGTTTCTGTTCACAGTTGGCTGGTGCCAAGGCAGGGTGGTACATGGCAAAAGGCAGCAAGCAACTGGGGACCAAAGACCCTGTTTCTCTCCCTTATATCTTATCCAGTCTACCCACTCTTGGGGCAGATAGCACTTACATCCTAGGTGGGACACCCTTAACCCTAACCAGAACTGTGCCAGTGTACTGACTCAGTAATCACACACCTTAATTCCAGCATCATATTGTAGATGCAGCTACCTCTGAAAAAGCCCCACCTATGATTGCATGAGGCTTTGGGGAAACATTTAGACACAAGCCATAACAAAGTTGATTGTTAGTACGATGTACTATGTGCTATGTACTATGTGTAAGATACTGAAAGAATTTAGGAAATTCAGAAACTTATAGCCTAATAAGATGAAAGTCATACATGAAAAACTGTTAAATTTGAGAAGTAACATAGTGATGGAATACAAAAATACAAGTCTTAAGGTAGAATGATAGCTCCGCAAGCAGTAAAAACACTGATTTCTGTAAGCTAAGACACTGCAGTTTGTGTGTACATGTATTAACTTATATTTTTGTAAGGTTATTTTTGTATTTAACCAATCAAGATCCTTTAAATCTTCATTTTATCTACCATAGAGTATTATATCTTTGTGTTTATATGAAGGATAGAACCACATGACTGAAGTTTTATCATTTTAAAGATCTTGATTTTTTTTAATAGGTCAACTACAAATATTTTTGAGCAGTTGAGTGCCATAATCATACGGTGTTAAGGCACATCTGTGGCATATAGAAAAGAAATATGGAAAAGACTGGAAGGTGCAAAAAAAAGCAGGAAGATGAAATTGTTATAGTTGAAGTGCAAAGTGATCATCAGTATGTTAGAATGGAATAAATTGTGCACTTTATCTGTCTTGCTTAGTGCCAAGTATAACCCAAGTATATAAAATATAATGTGGCATTTAGTACTAAGCAAGTATTTGTTAATTCTTTAAATAAATTATTCAGAAATATTTCTTAAAATGTAGACTATATACAGAAAGAAAGAACAAGGTTAAGTTTAGTTAAGTATTTCAAGTTTCATTGAACTATTAGAGACAGAATTGAGCATAGTAAATTTTGAGGAAAAACCAGAACTTTGTATTATTCATGTTGAATTTAAAACAACAATGCTTCCAAGTAAAACACTGAGTAAAATGGGTTGGGGTATCCATAAACAATAAAGAGGTTGGTGATTAGGGTTTTTTTTTAATAGCCATCTAAATAAAAATAATAGATGCAGTAGTGACCATAATCCTCAATAAATGAATCTATAATGAAAATAACAGAAGGCCCCATGTAAGGACAAACTAACCTGACAGAATAATCATGTACTGAATGCCTTTTATATTCCAAATATTGTGCTAAGAACTCTGTAGATATAAATCAATACTCGTAATATCACCATAGGATCTCACCTAAGAAAAAAATTATGCCACTATGCCCTGCTATTTTTGTAACATCTTTAAAAAATATTTAATGATATGTAATAAGAAAGGATGATGGAAACTGAAGTAAATAATACCCCAGAAAAAGCCACCCCTGTTTCTTCCTGATAATTAGTCAGGAGTGTTTCTTCTTTTCAGTCTAATCTCTAGTTGATCTGGAACCAGTCTGAGTTGTGTTTCATTTCAGTTTGCTACTTATTTCAGGTGTCTTGAGAGCAGGATCTGTGGTGTCCTTTCACCAGGTTTGGAATTCACCTTTACTGAGATTCCTCATCCCCTAATGCCACTTTACAGATAGTTCTGCTTACAGAATTTTATGTGTCTTCCAAAATTTACTTCTTTCAGTCTTTCCAAACCTCAGGGCAAATCTCTGTCCTCCTACCCTGTACCCAGTCTTTAGTGCAATGAAACCTCCTTGAAAAGAAAGGTTTATGCTAATATTGTTTGGAGAATATTTCACGCCTATGTCTTGTACTCTGAATAATATGAAGATAACAATACACAATGTATTACTTATTGTTACTCTTCTATTAGCTTGTTTTAAAATGTGTTTTTTTCTCTCTCTTCAAAATGATAAGAAAAAGAAAAAAAAAAAGGAAAACAAACAAACAAAAAAAGTGGATATTCCCATGGGAATCTCTCTTTTTCTGCCCTGGTCCTAGCCTGATGCATGTAGCCACTTCACAGCCGCTTCACAGTTTTTCTGAGGAAAAACTATTGGCAGGTGAAATGACTTCATGGGCTGCCTTATACAAGTCCACAGGCAGATTCATGAGTTTGGCTGCTCTCTCTCTATACTGAGGTTTCTGTAATTTATGAATGGTTGATTCTCCTCCTTCTGCATGCCACTGAAACTTCGCTCACATAGGAAAAATTGATCTGGTTTGTAATTTAGATCATCTACAAAACTTTGATATCTTAGTTCACTGTGTGTAAAGCAAAAAATGGAAAATTTTATAGCCTATTTTTATGAAAATAACTGTCTACTTTTCACATGCTAAAACTATTAAATAAATTTTAATATTAACTTACTAGTTCCTAATGAAAGAATAGATACCATTAAAATACTTATTTATTTTTCGGTACAGATTATTTACAAATTACAGAAAAGATTATAAAAATTAGTAAAAAATAAAACTTTAGAAAAACTCTCAGTATTTTTCACTAAATGATGCATCTAAACATAAGCATCATGAACGAAAACTGCATGAATTAAATTTAGAGTGATTAAGTGCTAACATAGAATAATCCCAATTTTGAAGTGAAACCAAAGACATACCTGAGATGTATTAAGATTGAACTTGCTGCTTTTATGAAGAGTGTAAATAATAGTAACTTTGAGTTACAAGTTTTAAAAAATTGAAGTAAATCAAAGATTATCATGTCTCTGGTATGTGGACATCTGAATATCTCATTTATGTAAAATACTTTGTATTACATGCCTACATCATGCTTTGTGCTATAAGAGTTTCATTTTAAATAGAGTAATGTTTCTTTTAAAACTGGGTATCATAAGACTTGGTGCCAAGGAGGTTTTCTCAAGACATCTCAAGCCTTTGAGATGGCTAACAAAACCAGTAACGATGATTTTTTTTTCCCAGTACTTATCTGTGTTTGAAATTGAAGGTAGTAAAATTTAGAAGAGTTTTAAAAAATCATGAAGATTCATAGAACAGGTTTTAGATCTTCAACCCTAAAAATACTTTATCCTTCATTCAGACTCCTTAATTTGGAATGTATGTGTCCATACTGATCCATCAATAATAAAAGGAGACAAGATCATACATATTTATATATACATGATTATATATACATGAATTGTTTCTATAATCATGTAATTATTTTGTAGTACTAGACTATAGAGTGCAATATACTGTATTTGTTGAACTCCAGGAGACTGGGGACCTTTTCTTATTTACCTTTGGTTCTTCATCATTTATCAAAACTTCGCTAATATTTGTTCAGTGAAAATTTGTTGAATTGAGTGGCTGAATAAATGTCATGGAAATAGTGTATGTAAACTGGAAACATCACTGGATATGTACAGATTTAAATGAATACTTCTTTGAATATTAGTCCTATAATTTATAAAGCAAATGTTAGTTTAATAAAGAAGCTTACATTGTTTTTTCTAAGGATTGATAGAATCCTTTCTGAGGAATGCTTCTGGCAAGATGAAAATTTATCTACTTTGCTCTTGGGAGCTTTTATAGAAAACATTGTGCCATTGTCTTTCCCTCACTTTTCTTGTTGTTGATTTTATAGCACCATTGACATTACTACTGATCCTTAGTGGGAGAAATAGAATTCTCGTAGATCTGTGCTTTAAATCCCTTGAGGTGACAGTCAATAGTTGAATTTAATGGATTCAGAATAGTAGCACAACTACGAAAACCAAATAAATAAATGTGTAACTATGCATTTAAAATGATGAATTAGGCAGTAGTCTAGCACTGGCAGTAATAGAACCTCAAAGGTGTCACTCTTCTTCAGGCTGTGAGCACACTGGACTAAGAAAGGGTGTAAGCGGGATAGCTGTGACATTTAGAATGAAGGAGATAAAATCATAGTGACAACAGCTTCAACACAGAAGCTGAAAGATTCATATCCAAGACCACCAGTGAAGGTGCTTTCACACACTGATGCCAACCATGTACCTGCAAAACATTTTTTTACTTTGAATATCAAAATCATTTGACTAGTAGGGCTTACATTTAATATAAATCATAGGGTTTTTTCTTTGCTTGCTTGTATTTTTTTTTAATTTCAAGTTTGACAACTACAAGCTCCATCTTTTTTGGACTGGACCGTTTAAGGTCTTCTACAGCTTTGGAATGTCACTAGTTTTACTACTCCTGGAACTTTCCTAATAACAGTAATGTCAAGTATAATAGCCATGTATATGACGCCCTTTGGTTCACAGGTCTACAGAAAAGCCTGGCATTTTTTTCTCTCTGTCCCTGAGAAATTCTCTAAAGACAATGTATTTTTCCCATTCCACATAAAGGTCATAGGGCAGGGGCAGCACAGTTTGGCTATATATGTATTTTCATTCACTACACAGTACCTTAACTCCTTTTGAACCTAAAATTGGCACTATTCCTACAATTCATAGTAAATTTCTAAGCTTTGCCAATGTAAAGAAAAGTACTAGTCCTTCATACCTATATGAAAGTTTGGGATTATTAAAAAGACATATCTTATGGTACTTTTTAAAATAGCATCAGTCATATCTTTTAAGCACAAAAGGTAATTATTTTCCTGTAACCTAACAGTCTATTTTGGAATCAAAGATTTCTGCATGATTTTTAAGGATAAAATAATATAGATTAAATAAGCATTTTTCTGTCTAATATTAAGTTTCCTGTTACTTTATTTTTATATTTTCAGCTTTCTAAGAAGTACGGAGTTCATGTATGCGGTGAAGGTGGAGAATATGAAACATTCACTTTGGATTGCCCTTTATTTAAGAAGAAAATAATTGTGTAAGAGATTATTTTAGCATTTTCTTTCCTTTCCTTAAATTTCAGTATTAGAAACAACTTCACATTAAGCTTGAGGCAACTTTTGTTGTGAGAAACAGAACATGTCCTCTAAGTTCACAAACACTCAATTTGTTTAATACCACTGAAGTTGTCTGAATACTTAAATCAATACCTGACAGGACGAGGCTTTCATAGAAGGCTATAAACTTTTTAGACATTGCACTTTTCGTTTACTTGCTGATTATGGCCTGCAGTAAAACTGGTACCTACACACTGACACTTTTATCCTTTCATGAAGTGTGAATTGCCTGTATTATTTATCTTTCATTACAGCTACATTTGATAAACTGCCACATCAGTAGCCTGTGGGTTCCATTAATTCCATCCTCTTTTTCCTTTTTCTTGTCTCTAACAAGTTAGAAAGGTACTACTAAACATTTCTTTTGAGTTATTTAGGGTTATTTTTACATACAAACTGTTTTTAGACATCCAATTTATTGTGAGTAGTGTGATTTTGCTATAAATTGTTAAAATTATTATAGTGAAAAACAGGAACTTTCTTCAGTTTGTTACATTATTACCCATGCTTTTATTTATGTCATTCATCTTATATTCTAGAGCACTTTATCTGCTTTTTCTGAACTCTCATGCTTCCTGGAAAGACTGTCAAAATTACTACTGGCTGAGTGGAGAGTTCTAATATTTTTAACATTAAGACTTTAATTTTTTGATATTAGTAATAAGAAAGGGAATGATGGATAATCTAAAAAATTGCGTATTAGTAAAACTGATAAGCCACTTTCCTTACCATGTATAATATTCATGCACTCTTCTTTGGTATTCTTCTTATTTTCCATTAATTGTCAACATAAGAATTTATTTGGCAAGTTTTTATTAAGTTTCTATTTTATCCAGAGCATTCTATTGGGGTACTATTGATGTTCTAATAGAGTCCCTACCTTTATAGAAGTGGGAAGAAATGTATCTGAGTATATTTATGATACAAAGTGATAAAAGTTAAGAATTATAAATGTGTAGATGAGAAACACTTTTTCTGGTTATCATAATCATGAAACAATTCATGAATGAAATATGTCTGAAGTATTCTATGAAATAATACTCAAGAAAAGCATTCGTATGCTAAGGTAAACTTACAATGGAAAAGTTGGAATATATATGGTTATTGATATGGGAATAAGCAAATTAGAAAAAACATGGTAAGAAGAAATGCCAAATTTACTTTCTCATTTACACAATAAAATGATGTCCTGTAATGCTCAAATGCTTTACGGACAACCTATTAACTATTGCATGTGTACTAATTTATATTTCATAACTAGATGGTCTGTTTATAATAGTACTTTAACTTGAAAAAGTAATCTCTCCAGCCTCTTCATTTTGTAGACATAGGAACTTGAGCTTGACAGAGATAATGCATGAAGGAGTTAGTCATGTTAATGAGAGTGTCATTGATGGAGAATTAGAAGCCTCTGTAGCAAAAGTGAGTTGTTTATGCAAACCAAATGACTGTTTGTTGAGGTATATTATGTAGGGCGATCTCTGTAAGGCGTTATCCTGCTCTTCAGGAGTATTTCCTGTTAAAAAACAATCAGAGAGAGAGAGAGAGAGAGAGATATGTGCAGATAAATCAACAACATGAAAAGTGGCACCACGCACGTGTCCCTTCAGAACACAAAGGAAGCACTGTATTTTCATTATTATTTATCAGCCAGTTAATCTTCAATCTGCTTCTGCTTACTTTTCCCACATTTCATAGGTTTGCTTCTTTTCAGCTTGAAAACTTTCTTGATACCTTTAAGATACCTTCCTATTTTTCCTCCTTACTTTACTGAATATTTCCATTTGTTTTTCACTTTTTTTAGGATATAGTTGTAGTACATAATGATTATATTCCTTGTATAGCGTTGGCACATGTACATGACTTATCTCAATTGATTTTTTTCATCATCTTTTTCTTCTCTCCCTGTCTTCCCACATCCAACTCTTAATCCTTTTCCTGTCTGAGAAAGACCTAACTCCTCACTTGTATTGTCTCTTTTATTTGACCCTTTATAATTTGGATTTCTCTTGTAAGAGAAACCATGCTCATATTTATTTCACTTAACATTACGAATACTTCAAATTTATATTCTTTATGGCACAGTAATATTTCATTGCGTGTAAATACCACATTTTCTTTATTCATTCATCAGTAGATACAGGCTACTTCCAAGATTTAGCTCATTTTGGATGTCATCACCTCCAGTGTTTGTTCTTATTCTTAACCTGTCACTAAGAATATTTGTTAGATATTATTAAATTAATTCATTGTTTATTATTTGTTTTTCTTAAATATTTTGTTTCCTTTTCATTTATTCCTCTGTTTAGTTTTAATTAGAAATTATTGGCTGGAACATATCAATATTTAATGAAAAAAACTGTCTTTTACTATGAATAATCTATTCTTCTCTTAAAAATAGAATAACATCCTGTCATACCTGACATTAATAAGATGATGTGAGTGAGCATGCATTGTCCATTCTAAAACTGTACGTGCATGAAAGATGTTTTACTTAGGATAGTCTTCCAGATGATACAATTTAAAGCTATGTTTAGTTCCTATAACTATTTAACAATTGACCATTGATAATGATGGATTCTATAGTTTAGAATGCATTCTTTGCCCAATATATTTGATATGATAAATATTGCTGTGCTGTAGCTAGCATGCAGCTATTTATTTATTAGGATTCTGTTTCAAATACCTGATTCAAATGACATTGTATTAAATAAAAAGTAACAAGGCCATCTCTAAAAGGAGAAAGACTTACAAAATTATTTGTTTTTAATTAAGAAGTTTTTAAAGTGTAAGTTGAATCTTTTTTGTGTACTGAAGTAATTAAGAGATCAAAGTAGTTCTAGAAATTTATTATTAAATGTACTGTGCTTAAATTAGATTCCAATTTTTAAAATCACTTAGCATTTTTAAAATCTTACAGGAAAAATTGGAATAAACTTAGTCTAGCATTTAAAAGCATTTATAGCCTAGCATTTAAAAGAAGAGAATTGACTACAGGGTAATCATAGGTTTTCAAATTAAAAACTTTTTTGCGTGTGTGGTGTGTGTGTAAAGAATTGAAGTCTTTAAATTCTGTTAATGATAGTTATTGTCTTTTCTGTATTAATGATACTTCTAATATCAGTACTTGAGACAGCTATATTTCCCTTTAAACAGTCAAAGGGAAATTCTTTTAGGTAGGAGGCATGGGAAGATATTACTCTTTCAGGAGGCTAGCATCAGAGTGAAGGGATCAGACAAACTCAGTTTCCATTTTAAAGTTGTCGGTAGAGGTTAATCTGTCACAGCAATGAAAGGAAATATTGGGAAACCTTTGTAAAGCCTCATTTGTATGGCAAGTCATAACAGCACTGGTTACTTACATTGCTAGAAAATGAGAGAAGGCTAGCAGACAAAACATTTTTGGTCTAGCATAACTGAAAGTATTTGAGGGGTTAATTTATTTTCTGATTTAATCAGGATATTCTGACAGGTTGTACTTTTAGGACTCAGAAATCTATAAAGCAAAGACTAGACATTCTTAGAAGTAGTTTTAAGTGATAATTTAGAAAACGAAAGAAAGAGTAATAATTGCATTCTTGTGTTTAGAACTGAAAACTTTTGCTTTCATATCTAGTCTCAGTTAACTCCTGTGAATGTTAGTCACTTAGATGTTACAGATTTAATAGAACCATTAAAAAATCACATTCTCTGTCAAAGAATGCTAAGAATGTGTGTGTGTGTGTTCTCTCTAGATAATACTCTTGATTCTAAGTGTAATTGCATCAGTGAAGTAAGAAATGTGTTGTCATCTTTCTTTTTTAGTAAGCTAATATTGGGGAGGACCTGAAATCCACTGAGACATACTTCAGGTTCAGGTTAATTATGGTATTGATGCACTCCATTTTCAAGGATATCAAAACCAAGTTGCCTGCATTAGGCATCATTTAAGCTTATGATTATTTTCCAACACTGGGATCAGGAACAGAAAACTGAAATTAATCTAAGAGTGACATCATAAACAAGAACTGAGGTTTGAATCTTATTGTACAGCCAAGATTTGACCAAAGCACACAACTCTGAAGAAAAGGAGAAATAAGAAATTAAAGGGAAAAAAATGAGTAAGTTTCAGGTTGTAGGAGGAAGCAAGCAAGAGAACGTCTTCTGTACTTTTATCTTTTTTTCCCTCCTCACATCTGGAAGCATCTGTTCCTTGACATTACCTGTGAATACAAGTTGTATCTTCTCATCAGGATCATTACTCTTTAATTATTCTACTGTTTTATAAGGTACTTTCCTTTTAATGCCAAAGAAATCCTTTTTTTAATGTTACTTTTCTAATCATTAATAGGATACATATTTGATACTAAAATGAATGGAAATTGTTTTTTATTTTAATCATCAAACTTGCTCTTATTTATAAATTTTGTTTAATTTTATTGGTACAGTGTAGGTATACCTAGTGATCACATTCATCACACAGAATATGTATTTGTACATGATATATTTTGATTTTTTACCCATTCCCATCCCCTCCTTTCAAACTTCCTTTTCCTCCCTGTTCACAAAGTTCTGTTTTCATTTTATCCCTCTTTTCTGAATTTTTTCTTTCTCTTCATTCCTTTCCGTCTCCCAGGTCCCTAGTTCCCTCTTCTTTTGAACAGTGTCTTCCTATTTCACAATATCTGTTGTACAATTTTGGTTCTTATTTACAATTCAGTTTCTCACACCAGAGAGATAATGTAGTATTTACACATGCATGTCCTATTTATTTCACTTACAATTAACACACTCTTAATCTTAAATCTTCCAAGTGGAAAGTAAACATATTCTCATCATAAAAATTTAGTATTTTATAATTAAGATATTGAGGATTCTGCTAAGTGATTTTGCACCAAAAACTTAATGCAAGAATGTTTTTTCATTAATGGCAGAGTCAAAGTAAGAATTCATTTTCCTGTACTGCAGTGTTCAAAATACTTACAATAGTAACATAAGCATTAAATAGGATTTCCTGAGACATTAAATATAAATGAATTTTGGTTTTTAAATTTTCAGTTGAAATGCAGAACATTATTGCTTCCTTAATAAACAATAATAAAAATAATTAGTAGGATTTGTCATAATCTGAGTATTCATATGTACTTTACCAGGTATTATTAATAAAAAGTTGTGTTAATTTACATTTATCCATATGATGCCAGCAAGAAGTTCATAGCATTTTACGTGCATATGGTAATTACGATGTCAGACAATCAATTTAAATAGTAGTAATATTGCACTGTGAAGAGTTCAGCTAGAGCTTAAAAACATCACTAATACTGCTTTTGTGAGTATAATTGAGATTTTTGTGTGAAACACTGAATGAATTACCTCTTGAAAAGGATAATGAAGATAAAGTACTAATGTTTAATGGTTAGTCCATGCCAAGCAGATGTAAAAGTGAAATTGATCAAGTTTGTCTCAAAATTGTTCAGCGAGTTTTGAACCTGAAAGTTGTACTGTGTGTCTTTATAAAGATAAAAATGCATCATTATTTTAATATTCTTAAAAGTAAATTCTTGATCTTTGTACTCAATTAATTAATACTGGATTATTAAAAATGTTTACAATTACATAGTTTATAACCATGCAAATAAGCATAAAGTGAGGATTTTTGGTGTCTCCTATCAGTAGCCACAGTTTATAGAGTAAATAATGCAATATAAATTGTTTCTGTTTCAGAGATTCCTCAGAAACAGTCATACATTCAGCAGATGCATTTGCACCAGTGGCTTATCTGCGCTTTTTAGAAATGCACTTGGAGGACAAGGCAAGTCAATCTAAGAGTCACTTTAATTTTTATAGACAATTGAGATATATGTTTTTGTACTGTGTATCTAATCATGTAACAGTAAAAGACAGAATAAAGAAAATAATTTTATCTTTAGTGGGTTTTTTCCCAGCTCTTCAGTCAATAACAAGGGATTTTATAAGTGCTGTAGTTTGAGGGTTTCTTATGGTACAAAAAACACTACATTTCTAAAGGTCTTGCTAATCTGTTGAAAGAGAGTAAGTTACAAACACTGAGAACAGTATAAAACCAAATGTTAAATAATTAAATAGGTAATATACAAATAATTAGGTTATTGTGCATAAGGATTAGAGAAAAGATTTGATAATGTATTTGATCATTATACAAAGCTTAAGAGGGAAAAAATTAGAAATAAAAGCTTTTCTAATATTCAAGTTAAATTGAGGTACAAAAGAAAGAGAAAATGAGACAAAAATTCACTAAGGAGTTTTATTTTAAATAAATTGATGATCAAGATACAGCAAAAATGTCAATTTAATGATACCTTACTGAATAAAGACCTGAATTAGATCTATTGTTGATCTTTTACATATTGTTTTATCATAGAAATAATAGCTGAAATTATGTGATGAAATGAGAGTGGTGACAGAAAAAGGAGTGGGAAAAGTCTTGCAAGTTGGTATTGCTCTGAATCTTGAGACATACATTTACATGATAGAAAATCTGAAGAGAACTAATGAATGTTTGACATAAGTAGGAAAAGAATCTCAAAAATCTCAAGATGAGAGTTTCCATAGTTAAGTAAGCTTGTTTGTTTGATTACTGGTGCCAGTTTCCCAGAAAAATGATGATGAATAGGATTAAAAATGGTTCATTAAATTCACCTGAAGTATAACTATTGCTAAACTTTATCCAAAAAGCTGATTACCCTCAAGCAAATTAAGTCTTACTATCTAATTATCTTTCAAACTCACTGAAAGGAACCTCTTCTAGATGGCTTCTGCTTTTCTGCTATAAAACAGAATGTCAAAACCACTGAATTCCTGTTTAAACATTCCCCTCATTATATATTCAAGTCTACCTGATTAGACTGTCTACTTTGTTTTGACATTGCATTGGTAGTCTTCTTAGTCCATCTGTTCTGTGGCAAATAGCAGTGTTATATCTTTTAAGATGGACATTGAAGAAAAATGGTGCATTTTCTTTCTCTCTTTTTTTTCTTTTAGGTGTCTCCAGTGCCTGAAAACTACAAAATATGTAGTTCTATATACACTTCTTAAAATACATTTTAGAATATTATTGACTAAGCTGTAATTTTGGTAAAAAATAGATACCAGTTTGTCAATTATGACCAACTTTTCCCCACATTTTTTTGTGTCTTAGAAAAATATTCTTGTTTTCAGAAGAAATTAGTGGAACTGTTAATTAATTGGGAAAATATCAGTGACTTCATTCAGGGTAGTCAGTAATACTGACTACTCGCTCAGGATTCATCTCTTTTAACATGTCTCATTATTACATCTGTGTCATAGGAAGAAAAAAATGTGTCCTTTTTCTTTTTCCTTTATCTCAAGTTCCCATTTTTGTAACATTTCACCATTACATTAGTATCTTTGCTCTTTTTCTTTCATTTTTCCATCCTTGCCATTTAGGTCATGATCAGAAACATCTGAAAATGAAGTTGGTTTATTTGGCCAATAAATTTATTCTGCTAGTTGTCACCAAAGTAATTTATCATTTTTCTTTTGAATATATTCATTATTTATGAATCAAGAACTTGAACATAATTGGACAATCAGGAAGACTATGATAACTGGTTACTTATTTTTTTTTCTTTTTGGTGTCTTTTGAGACAGGGTCTTGCTATATATATAGTTCAGGATGGCCTTTGGTCACTATGTAAGCCCAAGCTAACCTTTAAAGTCATAGTGATCCTCCTGCTTCAGCCTCCCAAGTGCTATGATTACAGGCATACAGCACCATCTCCAACTATAACTGGTCACTTTATGACTGATTTTAAAAATGCAACTTTCAGGACCAAGGATGTAGTTCAGTGGCAGTAGTGCTTGCCAAGGTCCTGAGTTTGATTCCCAGTACCAAACAAAACAAAACAATTGAGTAACCAAAAAAAATGCAACTTTCACATGTTACTTATGCTTGTCTTAGAAAACTTTTTTAAAAAACAATATCTTTTTCTAGAATACTTTTTGTTTCACAGCAAAGTTGAGCAAGAACTAGAGTTCGTATATACTCCCTCTGACTGTACAAGTACAGCCTAGTCCACCATCAACGTCTTGTCAGAGTGGTATATGTGTTATTATTATCACCAAAAGTCCATATCTTGCATTACATTCACTCTTCTGTTTTATATTGTATGAGTTTTGACAAATGTCTAACAACATACATCTATCTATGCTTCATTGGTTCAAGCCTCCTTTACCTGTAGACAGTAGTAATTATTGATCTTTTTACTTTGACTGTAATTTAATGTGGCAAAATGGTGCATAGTTGAAATTACACAATTTGTAGCCTTTTCAGATTAGTTTGTTTCACTTGGTAATATGCATTTAGGTTTCTTTGTGTTTTATTATGGCTTGCTACCTCATTTATTTTTGATGCTGAATAATAATCCATTGTCTTCATATACCATGGTTTATTTTATCCATTAAATTTCCAAAGGATATCTAGGTTGTTTCCATTTTTTGGCATTTATGAATAAACGTACATGTACAGAATTGAACCTGTGAATGTAAATTTCCAGTTCATGTGTGTAAGTAGCAAGGAGCATGAATACTGAATCATAAGAGAATGGTAAGGAGATGTCTAGTTTTCAGTGCAGTTGTCAAACTGTCTTCCATAGTAGCTGTACTAGTTTGCATTCCTGCCAGACATTAATGAACCTTGGGTATTATCCATGTTTTGGACTTTCTAATCTCCTTGTTTTAGTTTATAAACCCATAATGAATTCTGATGCTGATCATGTTTTATTTTGCCATCCATATATTTTCTTTAATAATGTTTACCTTTACATCTTTTCCTATTTTTTATTATTGACTTTTAAGGGTCTATACACTTTGGATAACAGTTCTTTATTAGATGTATCAGTCACTTTTGCTGGCACAGGGACATGATAGTCAACATCCACAATTTAAAGGAAGGGAGGTTTAATTTAGCTGACAGTTCCAGGAGAGAGATTTAGTCAATGATTGGGTTTCAGGGTTTAAGTCCATGTTTCAGTCAAGGCAGAGTTGTCATGGTAGAAAAGTTTGACAGAACTAAGCTATGTAGTTCCATGGCAACCAGGAAGCAGAACAAGGGAACAATGCCAGCCAGGAAGGGACAAGGGACCAGATATAGTATCAAGATAAGACCTCCTTTATCCACCTAGGCACATCTAGAGGTTGCTCTACCAATCCCCTGGGCAGCTTCCAGCGCAGTCAAGTTGACCAAATTAAGCCTGATCACCCCATACGACACCTTGTACAAATATTTTCTCCCATTCTCCAGTATATGCTTCCATTTTTCATTAGTGTTTTTCACAGAGCAGAAGTTTCAAATTTTAATCTATTTAGTGTTCTATCTAAAAAGTCATACTGAAACTCAAACTTATCTAGATTTTATCTTATTTACTAGGAGTTTGATGTTTTTTGTGTTTTTACACTTGTGTATAATAAATTTGAATTTTATAAGCAGTGTAAAACTTTTCTTTATATATAGATAACAGTTGTTTCAGTATGATTTTTTTAAGAGGGGTATCTTTTCTCCATTGTAATGCCTTTTTCTTTTGTATGTTTGTATGGTGTATTTCTGCTTTGTTCTCTTAAGGTGTTTGTCTTTGTTTTGCAAATATCATATGGTTTTGATTATTTTAAGTTTGTAATAAGCCTTAAAGTCAAATAATGTCTGTCTTCTAACTGAAGTTTTTCAATATTGAATTATTGTTTGCTCATCATGTTAAAGTCACACTGTTATTATCCAAAAAATACCTTACTCGATTTCATTGGCCTTAAATGAGTATATAAATAAAAATAGGAAGACCTGACATGTTGACACTATTCTTTCTTTTATTAATTTGTACTTAAGATTTATTCGACCATCATTGTTTATTTTTTCTTGTACAACAAACTTTACTTTTAAATACTTAAATCACTGATTCAAAATATTACTGTACAGTTAAAATTGTATGTAATAAAATTGATATTATATTGGTTATTTAATTCAAAAGAAACAATCCTTTTAAAAAATTTTTATTAGTACATGTTTACAGTACATGTTTGCATTCATCTTGACAATATTTGATCTCCATATCTATGCACATATTGCACTACTTATTTCATTCTTAGAATTTTCTATTTATTTAACTCTGAAAGCTTTTGTTTAATGTGTTAAGATATTTTATTTTTATTCTTATTTAGTAATTTATATATGGGCTTAATTAGAACTGTTTCACATAATGTACAAAAATGTAACCTTATTCCTCCCCTCTAGGTTTATCTTTTTCCTTGTTTTATTATTTATCATAATTGCTTCCCCTTCAGTACCTCAACTCAAAATTTGGTGTCATCTTTCGAGTGTTCTCTCATGTGCTATGTTGTCACATCTCCTAAGCTGTTCTATCTCTGTGTTCATTCCTCCAGTTAGAGCTGTGACTTTCCGAACTCTTTTGGGTTAACTCCATGCATTCCTTTTTTACATATTCAATTCCACTGTCGTATTATTTTCCTTTTTGGTATGCATTATCCTGCATAAGATTCTACAGTAATGCTGTATTATTTTCTAAACTACCATTGTTAGGAATTGAAGATCGTGTGACATTGCTATAACATTTATTTCCAGTCTTGCTCTCAGGCCCTGATCCCTATGTCCTTTTTGTAACATTACTGAACCTTTTGATTTCCTTTCTCTCTTGCCTTTACTTATTCTTTCTGACCGCTTTCCTTCTTCCCTTTCTTTAACTGTTTACATACTATCCCTGACATAAGACTGAAATAAATACTGTCATACATTTAGCCATACAAAATGGACTGCTCTCACATTGTTTTTTCTTTTTTTTAAGGAAAATTCAGCTTTATATTAGAGCTTTTGAAAGACTCATTCTACTAAGTTGCAGATTTCTTGAGAACAGCTTTGTTTTCATTAGCATATTCTCTGAATCAGCTTTTTGTTCAAAAATATTAGCTAAAAGTTCAATAAGAACGTTTGAATTTAACTTTTTCATGCTTCATTTTTTCTTAATACAGAATCTTAGTAACATGTTGATTCCATGTTGCATACCATTTTATGAGTCATTTTCATCTTGTTAGAGAAAAATGCTTTAAGGAAACGAAAAAGTAAAATGTAGCATTCAGAGATTGTTAGTATGTTTTGTCATCGTTTATATTATGACTTTGTATATAATGTCCACCCTTACGCTTTTTCTATAAATGATTTATCTACTTAAATTTTACCTTTAAGTTAAAATTTTACATTATTTATATGAGTATTAAAATGATACCAGCTAGGATCCCAAACAAAATAACTGAATAATGAAAAGCACTGAGTTAAAAATAGGGAAATAAATTAAAATTTCTTTGGGACTCTGACTTCATTGCTTATGGCAAAGTTGATGCTAAAATATACCGTACATCACTACAGTGACAGGATTGAGAAAATGAAAAATACAAAGCTTTACATAAATCAACCAAAAGATCATATTAAAATGCATAACCTTTAACATCAGAATCAAGACTTTTATTTTTAACTATTCAGTATGCTACCTTATATAGTTGTCTTAGATATTCATACAGCTTCATAGAAAATAGTACTTCAGATTATTTGAGAGCTATGAGAATGTATTTCTAAAGAAGCAATTTCAGGTGGAGAGAGTGGCCAAGTAAGGAGTGACAGCAAAGTGAATGTCTCCAAATTAGCATTGGAAAAGCAGGTATCCTGAGGCAAGAGCACAAAATAAAATGTTACATGGCCAGACAAATAAGAGAGAATCAAAGTAAACCAAAATCCAGTATCTAGAGTTTGGAGTACTTGACTGCACCTAGATCATGGCACTTTACCCTCTACTCTATTCTGGGAGATGATTGAACTGATTCAGGAAAAGATTGGCTCTTCAGTAACTGGATGATAGAATAGACTCATGATCACTCTAACTGCCCTGCAGGGCACGGAAAGTGAGATGTATGAAAGCCAAGGATTGAGAGAAACCAGAAGCAACAGAACAGTGCGAAACAAACACCACACATTCAGATGTTAAAAACACACACACAACACACACACACACACACACACACACACACACACAAAACAGACCTTTCAAACAGTTAAGATAGCTGTTCACACTGTGGCAGAAATGTGCAAAATTGCCACATACCCAAAGTACAGCTCACACCAAGAAAATGAGTACAGAGAGATCAACGGCCCTCACCACTTTGGGCAGGAAATAGAGTAGTCCATAGGAGGAAACTGCTTCTCACAGGCTGTATTTTCAAATAAAGGGAACATGACTGTAGAAAGTTTTTATGTTTTGTTTTGTTGCTTGTTTATTCTGAGCTATCTTTTTTTTTTCCCAACTGGTTCTTTTTTGTTAATATTGTTTTGCTATTTAATTTTATTCTTTAAATTTGGCCATTTATACTGTTCCTTTTTTTGACTCCTGTTTTTTTTTTTTTTACTTTCTTTCATATTTTTCTTTTCTCTGATCTTTTTCACTTTCTTACTAACTCATCCTCTCCCTCTAACCTACAGCATGTATCTCCATGTATGTACCTTAGAGAATAAGAAGTAACCAACGCTCTAATTTAAAATAGAACCATTGAAGGGCACTTTAGGATAACCCTTAACAAAATTAGACTGAGAGGACCCATACAAAACTAACTACAAATATATCAACAAATTCTAATGACAATCCCATTGCTTCTCTCAAACTCCAAATATAACTGCATATAGGGATATACAGATATATTCCAACCCCCCTCAACATTAGCTGCTTCCTTCAGCAATACAAATAATTCCAATAGAAGCAGACCTTTTTGTTTTCCACCTATTGACATTTTTCTTAATCTCCCTTTCTTATCACTGATATATCTCCTTCCTTTCCTCCTTAGTCTGCTTTCCCCATGCTGCACATCATAAACCATAAATAGCAGTGTAATATAATCTGTACTGGACATTGAGAAAAGGTGAAATGATCAAGTTTTAAAGTTTTATGATTGGTATACAGCAGGAACTGTTAATGTTATTCCCAGAGTGGAGGGTAGAAATACACTCTTTACAAAAGAGTGGTAGTGTCCAAAAATCAAACTAAATGGATTGTAATGGTAAACAGTTCCTCCTGGCAAAACCATGATCACATCACTGGAAACCTGTCTTAACTAAAGAGGTCTTTATAGCAGGAACATACTTTCTACACTATTTGATATCAGTCCTCACCACAAAAAGAAAAGAAGGCAACAAAATGCCTCCAAAAACTCTGTTCTCCTAAATGGTGCAAATGGCACCAAAAGAGAGAAAATCAAACAACAAATAAATGAGCTACCTGCAAATGATTAAAGAAGAAATAAACTTGCAGGTTCAAAGAAAACATGAACTAAAGATAGTGGGATTAACAAACTGATGAATATCATTATGGAAGAAACAAAAAAACCAGAAGTTAAAAATTATTCAAATCATGACCAATAAATTTATCAAAGAAATGATTCATGAAAAGGTGCCCAATGAAAGCCAAGAGATAATGAATGCTATCAAATACATGAGCTGCAGAAATAACTAGTGTGAAAAGACTCTTGGACCTGAAGTAGAAAATGGAAACACATGATATTCTAAGAGGTAACTTAAGCTTGACAAGAAAACTAGGAAAATTCACCCAACTGCTACTAGATTATGCCAAGTAGACTAACCTAAGCTAAATGAAGTTAGAGAATAGCATAATTAGAGTAAAAACTGTGTTTACAGAAATCATAGCAGAAAACTTTCCGTGTGTGGGGAAGGAACTTACACACAGGTGAGGCTCATAGAGCACCAACAAGGATGAAGAAACAAATCTTTCCCATGACGTAGCACAGAAAAATCCCAGAAGCACAACACAAGGACAGAATCCTTAAAACTTTCAAAGAAAAGCAAAAAAAAAAAAAAAAAAAAAAAAAAAAAATCACTTAGAAAGGCAAATCCATTAGGATTACAGCAGACTTATGAAAACAAATGTTAAAGGCCAACAGAAATTACATTTTAAGTCCTAAAAGGAAACCCCTTTCAACGTAGACTAATGTATCCTGCAAAACTATATTTAAAAATCAGTGGAGGAATAAGGATATTGTACACCAAATAACTCCTTATGAAAACCAAGCCCATGCTCCAAATAATACTCAAGAATATTTTGGAGATACACACTGAAGCCACTAGAGCCAACAACTCTGAAGAATTGAATATATCAAGCAAGATGAATGGTTATAATAGTTATAAAGAAGTCAGAGGTTGGGGGGGACCTCTGAGGAGTAAGTCGGTACCTTTCAGTAACAACTCTCAATAATAATTACAACCCCAATTAAAAGACACAAATTGGTACATGGTCAAAAAAGAAAATTCAATGATTTCTTGCATTCAAAATATGCATATGCTCCAAAAAAATTTGATAGACTAAATATCAAAGGGTGAAAAAAATACTCCAGGCATGAGGACCCTGAAGCAAGCAGGGATAGAAGTCTCATTCTCAAAATAGACATCAAGATTAGACTGATCAAAGTGCAGACAAAATTATACAATGTGCCTGTTATATGAAGGTGAGTGCACTGATACTCAATGCATAACTAGTTAAAGGAAAACTTCAAGAAGAAAGAACAGTTGTAAATATATATACACTGAATATCAGTGCTCTCACCTTCATATGACAGACACTGCTGGTCAGAAAAGATCAAATAAACACCATCACAATAAGTGATCTCAATTATCCACTTTCACAAATACACAGATCAACTTAATACAAAAAGAAATACAACTTTCAAACTTTAAAGGGATTTAAAAGACATCTGCAGAGTGTTCCACCCCCTTTACAGCAGAATACTCGTTCTCCACAGCACTCAGAGTTTATATACAAATAGAACCTGTGTAACTACAGATGAACTCATGTATATCGTGGGGTCAGAGCACACTGAATCTAGAAGTCAGCTGCAAAAGAAATCACAAGAATTTTACAAACATTAAGTAACACATTCCTGAATACTAAGTCACACATCAAGAACAAATTAATTACTAGAATTGATTGATAAGCCAATACAACATACAAAAACCTATGAGATAGTGAGTACAGTTCTATGAGGGGTTTCAGGAACAAATCTGAACTAATAAAAACCACATGATTCTGGCACAAAACCTAGATCAATGGAAAAGAATAGAGGACTCAACCTCGAATACATTGGGCCATCTGATATTTGGCAAAAGAGCTAGAAAACACACTGAGGATAGCTTGTTTACCAAATGGTGCTGTGAAAACTGGCTTATGCATACAGAAGATTGACTGTAGACTATGGCCAACCAATAAGATTAATTGTTAAGATAAAATTGACCAAATCAGGAACAAATGGGAAGGGAGTCACTTAGAAAGTGGATATTCTCAGTTTTATCCTGGTTTGTTTGATTTTATTATCTGTGATGGTATGAACAGCTATTTTGAAGAACATAAGGCATTATATTAGCCAGTACTAATTTAATGTCATCTTGGTTTGAAGTCCTACCATGCTTTTGTTCTTCTCTTTCCAATGGGTCTATCATGTTGTATCTTACTGGATTTTATTATGTGTGATAGTACAAACAAAATTTCTATGGAAAATGAGATAATATAGTAGCCACTGTTCATTTTCTGTTATTTGGTTCTGAATGTCCTGTAATACTTTCATTCTCTTGAATGGGTTTACACTATTTTGTTATGTTTGATACTATTGTATATGAAGTTATGCTCAACTATTTCAAAGAAAGAGACATTATGGCAGTTACTGCTAATTACAGGTTGTGGTGAAATACTGTGTTGCTTACATTGTTCTGGTCTGCTTTGTTATGTTCTTTTTTGTCTTAATCTCTTTAAAATAAAAAAATTTTTAAAAAAAGAAAGTGGACATTCTTATGGAGCAGTGACACTTCTGTAGAGGGATAGGATGATAGCTCCTGGCTTCATCAAGGTGATCCATACCTATTTAGAATGTCCACCCTAATGTTTATACTTAGGGTGTGGTTGCATTTGTTTTGCCTTTGTCCTGAGATCTGGCCTATAGTGGGAGGTGACTGTCTCCTCTAAGATCACAAGACATCTGATACTCTGTGCCAGCTCCCTGGAGGGCCTAGCACTGTCAGACTGCCTATAACATTTCTGTCTGATTTAGCTGCCTATTTTTTGTTGAAATAATAATAGGCCAGTTAAACGCTAAACATTTCGCTAAAATGCATGACTTCTAGAGACATTATCAATTTCATGTCCTATTTTTTGCTCTTGTTTTATTTTGCATTTTAGAAATGTCTTCAAATATTTTGTAAAACATTAAATCATCTCTGTACTTTTTCTCTTCAATCTGAAATGTATTTTTTAAACCACTTGCTCTGCTTAAAAAGCTCTTAGGTCTACATGAAATTGCCTATAAATCTGGGAAATTTACAAAATAGTTTTAGTTTTAATATTGAATTCAAATTATTACCATTATCATTATCCCAAGTCCTATGATTATAGTAATTAGTGACAGATACCATTAAATTCGCTATGCAGAACTAAATTTAAACAGTGGTCATACTTATGAATAAATTGGGACAGTCACTCATACTTATGGATAAATTGGAACATATATAAATATATATAATCACTAGACTATACTGATTTTTGAGTGTGAAAGGAGGATGGAGGGGAAAAACAGACAAACTTAATCCTTTACTGTTCTATAATTGTGACTTCTTTCAGTAAGCATTTGTTTATTTAAAAAAAACTTTCCTGAAGAAAATTAACTGCTCAGGTAATAGTATAGTGTGTTACAAAGATAAATACATATTGAAATGTTATTCTATAACATTTTCATACTCAGTAAAAAGACATACTATAAAACATACTATAAAACTTTATAAACATACTATAAAACTTTATAATACTCCCCGGGAGTTCAGGGCATAGAAGACGATTTCCAACAGGCCCAGGGAAGCCTTGGAACAAAACATGAAACAGGGAAATGTAGGAAATGACAAAACAAAAGACCAAAATGCAATCTCAAACATCCAGCCCATCCCAAGAAAGCTTAGGAGCTATGTACATAGAAGAAAATATATGCCATACACCTGAAATACCTGAAATAATGGCAACTAAAATAAAGATGCAACTCCGGGAAGCTTTAAAGGAACTCAAACTAGAAATAATTTCCTAGGTAAAAGAAGAAATGATAAAAGTGAGATACTGAACACATCAAAAGAAGACACAGTTAAAAAATTAGAGGTACAAAACAAAAAGATAGAATCCCTGGATGAACAATATAAGAAACAAACAATATATGAAGCAGATTCAAAAGATACATAGGAAATAAAAAATTCCATTGAAAGTTGTCAAAACCACCTCAACGAAAGTAAAGATAGAATTTCAGACCTCGAACAAGATTGCAGGTAGTGAACAGGAAAGGAAAGATCTTTTAAAAATACAAAGGAATCAGGAAATAACAGTTCAACAGCTACAAGATAATGCAAAGAAAAACAACATAAAATTGACAGATATAAATAGGGGACAACACAAAAGATATCAAGAGGATATTTAGAGAAGTAATAGCTGAAAACTCCAAATAGCCATAACCAAAATAAAACTGCAGCCAGAGATATAATAATCACCATCCCAGAAATCCAACATAAGAATAGGATATTAAAAGCTGTTAGAAAAGACAGATCACCTATGAAGGAAAACCTATCAGAATCACAGCAGACTTCTCAGCACAAACAATAAAAGTCAAGAGGAGCATGGAGTGAAGTATTTCAGATACTAAATGATTTCCAGCCTAGACTGCTGCACCCTGCAAAACTGTACTTCAAATGAATGGAGAAATAAGATACTTCCATCATAAAGAACAGCTGAAGAACTTCATGATCACCAAGCCAACCCTGCAAAGAATACTGAAAGATAGTTTAGACACACATAGGAAAAAACCACTAAGCAAAGCACACAATTAAACAGAATGGAAAGATAAAGATGCAACAGCAGAAAGATAACATGTCAATAATAAACCAATATATAACAGTTACAACCTTTTATGTAAATGGTCTCAGTTCACCAAATAAAAGACTGGCAGAATGGATCAAGAAACAACTTCCAGCTATATGCTGTCTACAAGAAAGCCATCTAACCCAAAAGCATACTCACAGATTGAAAGTCAAAGCATGGAAAATAATACTTCATGCAACAGGAACCCCCAAAAAAGGGGGGAGTAGCTATTCTGTTTGTAGACAATGTGAACTTCAAGAATGATCTAAAGAGATAAAGAGGGTCACTACATACTGGCTAGGGGTAAACTTCAAGAGGAAGAGATCACTATCTTAAATATATATGCAGCAAATTCCATAGCAAGCAATTATACAAAGCAAGTATTAATAGAAATGAAAAATCAAATTAGCAATAACACAGTATACAGGAGACTTTAACACACCATTGACACTAAGGGACAGAACAACCTGACAGAAAATCAGTGAAGAAATAACAGAACTGCATCACACCTGTAAACAAATGGACTTGATAGACATATTCAGAGTGTTCATCCAACAGCATCAAAATACAGATTCTTCTCAGCAGTACATGGGACAATCTCTAAAATAGACCATATACTAGCCCACAGAACACATTTAAATACATGCAAAAGAGTTGAAATTACCCCGTTCATATTAATGGATCATAGTGCCATGAAACTAGAAATCAATGATTAAAAGAAAATGCAAAAACCTCACAAACACATGGAAATTGAATAACACACTGTTGAGCAATCAGTGGGTCACAGGGGTAATTGAAGAAATTAAACAATACCTACAAGCAAATGAAAATACAATTTACTGGAATCGGTGGGATTGAAATACAATACAATTTACTGGAATCTGTGGGAATGAAACCTGTCCTCAAAGGAAAATTACTGCATTGAGTTCCCACATCAGGAAAACAGAATGAAGACAAATAAATAACCTGATGCTACACCTCAAACATCTAGAAAAAGAAGAGCAAGCCAAGGCCAAAGCCAAAAGAAGGGAAGAAATTATAAAAATCAGAGCAGAAATTATTGCAATACAGACTAAGAAAACAAAGAATCAATGAATCAAAGAGTAAGTTCTTTGAAAGAATAAATAAAATTGATAAGCCACTAAGCAATCTAATTTTTTAAAAAAGCTCAAATTCATGCAATAAGGAATGAAAAAGGCGAAATCACTCCAGACTCTGTGGAAATACAGAAGATCATCAACAACTGTTTCAAAAACTTCTCTTACAGGTTTGATAACACAGAAGAAATGTACAGATTCCTAGAAACATATGAAGTACCAAAGTTGGGTCACAAAGATGTAAAACTGCTGGATAACCCAATTTCTATTAATGAAATTGAAAATATAATTAAGTCCTTACCTACAAAGAAGAGCCCAGGCCCAGATGGATTCACTACAGAATCTACAGGAAATACAAAGAAGACTTAATGCCCACACTCCTCAAACTCTTCAATGAAATCAAAAGGGAAGCAATTTTTCCTAAGTCATTCCTGGAAGCAAATATTACTCTAGTACCAAAACCTGAGAAAGACCAAATTAAAAAACACAACTACAGGCAAATCTCCCTAATGAACATAGATGCAAAAATCCTCAATAAAATATTGACAAATACGATGCAGCAAATCATCAAAAAGATAATATACCATGACCAAGTGGGATTCATGCCAGGCATACAGGGATGGTTCAACATATGTAAATCAATAAATGTAATCCACCATATCAATAAAGCCAAAAGTAATCACATGATCATTTCTATAGATGCAGAAAAAGCTTCTGATAAGGTCCAACACTCATTCATGATAAGAACCTTACAGAAAATTGGAATAGATGGTCCTTACCTCAATATGATAAAGGCTGTCTATGACAAACCAACAGCCAGTATCATACTAAATGGCCAAAAACAAAAGGCCTTTACCTTAAAGTCAGGCACAAGACAGGGATATCCCTTATCACCGCTCCTATTCAATATAGTACTGGAAATACTAGCCAGAGCAATTAGACAAGAGAGAGAAATAAAAGGGGTTAAGATAGGAAAAGAGGAAGTTAAATTATCATTTGCAGATGATACGATACTCTACAGAGAAGACCTCCCTCAAAGCTCCATTGAAAGTCTCCTAGATATAATAAATAAATTTAGCAATGTAGCTGGATAGAAAATCAATACTCAAAAATCAATAGCATTCCTATACAGTAACAACAAAATCACTGAGGGATAAATAAGAGAAGCCACACCCTTCACACTAGCATCCAAAAAAATGAAATACTTACGAAATAATCTCATGAAAGTAGTGAAAAACCTATACAGGGAAAATTCTAATACCGTGAAAAAAGAAATCAAAGAGGATACCAGAAAATGGAAAAACATCCCTTGCTCATGGATAGGAAGAATAAATATTGTGAAAATGGCCATTCTCCCAAACTGTTATACAGATTCAATTCCATCCCAATTAAAAAAAATTCCTCATAGATCTAGAGAAATCACTTCTAAAATTTATCTGGAACCAGAAGAATGTTCTTATGACTGAATAGTATGCCTTTCTGTATCTCTACATTTTGAAACAGCATGCAAAATCCTGAAAACTGTCCTATTTTCCAAACAGTACTCCATTTTACTTTCATAGCTATTCAAGAGGTTAGCTTTGGAAGAGGAGCTGGTTACCTCTTATTCCTCCTTGGTGGATACATTGGCAATGTGTGATTTTGATACATATGAAGGCTTGGGATTTTCACTATACATGATCAGGAAATGTTTCCATTTATAGCTGGCAAAGCTGGCCCCAAGCTACTGTTATCTTGTCCTTAAAAGAATTAAAATTCATGCACTGACTTGATTCTAAAGTGGATGGACGTTCTTTCAGGTATTTATTTCCAGAATAGAAATTTACATCATATAAAAGATTTGCTCTGTAAGTTTTCTCCCACAATCTTCTTATATAGAGTTTCCAAAATTCTTCAACTGCCCTCACAACAGTGCTTGTGGACTCATCATTCGCTTTTACATTGTGTAATGAATAATGACTTTTGAATCATTTAAACAACCTAGAAGTATCAGTAGATTCAATACTGTAGTAGGTCCTAGCCTTTATTTCAACAACACAAGCCTTTTGCTTTGTCTCTGATAGTGGTGGTGCTGAGAAAGATATACTTCATTATCTGGTCTTTAATCGATAAGTTTTTCCATGTCAAATTTTTAATACTTGTATCTGATGGAATAGATCCTTTTAATAGATTTCATCATTTTGTTCTTGTTCTGTAAAAAGTATAGGCTGTGCCTGATTGGAAATCAGTAACTACTAATTTTCCACTTTGGTAAACATTAATGACAAATTTTGTTTCCAGGTCACTCAGCGTGGCCACTTACTGGCACCATTAAGAGGGAATTTTATATACTTAGAGGGCTTGACTAAGAGGGAATTTTTTATACCTAGAGATGAACAAAATAATATGAGATTAAATTAAAAATGAGGAAAAATGCAATCACGATACATAGAAAAACAGATTAGTAATATAGTCATTTACTGTCATTCTCAAATATTGTATACTACTTGCAGATCTATGTCCTATGCTTTCATATAACAGGCAGTGTAATCGGCTTGACATACTTTAGATTCTTAAAGGTCACAGAGAATAAGAGATAACACAGAACCTGTATCATCACAGGAAGATACTACAGGGATGAAGAGATTGTAAGCCCCTGAAAAGAAGCTGGAAAACCTCTGTAATTGGAAAATTATATGTACAAATTAAAGAAACATCAACTCCAGAAAAGGTATGAGAGATAGCCAAAATCTGTAACTCGGATAATTGGTAAAAATCTTCTCTTTTATGAAACTGTATCATAAAGATAATAGGATGAGTGATTTTTAAAAGGAAGGAGAAGGAAAAGGGAGGAAACAAAAGTCAAAGAGAAAAAAGGAAGGAAGGAAGGAAGAGAAAACCACAGATTAAAAAAAAAAAGGAATGGAAATGGACCAATCATGTGATCAAAATAAATATTTAGAAACTGATCCTAAAGAAATGGAGATCTAGGTGAATGACCCAGGGAGAGAACCAGCCAGCCAGTGTCTCTGGAGATTCATGCCAGGTTGGAACTTAGGGTGCCTGGTGAGCAGCGGGTGATCCAGGGAGAGAACTAGCCAGCCAGCATCTCTGGAGATCTATGCCATGTTGGAGCTTAGGGCTCTGGGTAGCAAAGCAACCCGCTCCCCTCCCCGGTAGTCAGCTATGAGCCTCCCAGCCCATAGGCTGCGAATCAAACATCTCCCCTGTTCACCATTAGCAAATTGGGAGTCAGAGGTCTGAGCATCTCTTGGGAGGATAACTGTATGTAATAGAGCAAATATGGGGGATTACCGTCTACCATCTCTTTGAAGGTAAATATTGTTATCACTGTTCTGATTAGTTGTATTGCTCTATTCAATACTGTTTTGATAGTTTTTCTGATATTCTGTATTTGGTTTGATTTTGTTATACCTGATTGAGAGGACAACTATTATGAAGATAAAAGATATACTATGGTGCTTATTACTGTTATCCTGGTAACCTGCTGTGAAGTTCTGTACCAATTTCACTGCACTGTCTCGATTGGCTTTGTTCTGTCATGTTCTGATGTGTTTTACTACCTTCAAAATAATAATAAAAAATAAATAAATGGAGATCTATGAAATACCTGAAAAATAATTCAAATTATTCATCATGAAGCTTAATGAACTACAAAAGAACAAAGGCAAGTTAATTAAGAAAAATGATGCAAGAATGAGATGAGGATAACAAAAAAATAAATTCTGAAATTGAAGAATACAGTTACTAAACTGAAAAATTCAGTAAAGTGCTTCATCATTAGACTTGATCAAACAAAAGCATCAGCAAACTTTGAGTTCACTGAATCAGAGTAACAATAAGAAAACAAAAAGTGAAGAAAGTCAAGACTTTATGGGTCACCATAAAGCTGACAGATCTATGCACTATGGAAGCACAAAAATGAGGAAAAAAGGTTAGCAACCTTAATTGTAGAAAAAAATGACTGAACACTTCCTAAGTCTGACAATGAAGCACATACCCAAAACTAAGGAAAGAGCTACAAATAAAATGAATTTAAAGAACCCTGCATTGAGAAGCATTTGGGAAAGCTTGAAGAGTGACATACACAAGGCTCATCTTTCATAGTAACAATAACATGCAGGCAAGTCGTAGACAAAGACTTTTTCTTGACCATTTTGAGATAAAAATATCCAAATAGGTCACAGAATTCTAGTTATACTTAATCAGAGCCACTTTGAAAAGATCCCAGTTGCAGTGAACCCAGCTGCACACTGTAAGCCCCTCTATCCTCTTTGGTATTGACTCTAACCTTACATGTTCTAAAACGTGTCACCCATAACATTTACAAAGGAACTTGGGAGGTTTCATAACTTCAGAAACACGTGCCAAACTCAGTTCTGTGGATCCTGAAGTTAACCTTGGATTCATCTTGTTTTGCTGTAATCTGAAGGCAATCCTACTCACGAACCTGGTGGGATATATAGCTATTTGTACTTTTAGTGACAGGGCTTCTGATTTTGTACCCAACAGTCAACACTAAAATAGCCCTGCAGTTAGATTCCAGTCACCGAACACACTGGGATCTATTCTTCCCACTTAGAGACCCATTATTCCCCCAATGATAGCTACTATCTTCTGAACTGTGCCTGTGACTCATCCATCCCTGCTATCCTGCAGTAGAGAGTACTGCTGCTTACACATGTAACCTGCAGGAGACACATCTATTCCCGCCCCAGTAACAGGTCTCCTAATGTTATACCCTACTGTGAAGCCCGAAGAAGCCCTGTGGTGACAGTTCCAGCCTTTATCATAGTCCAAAGGCAGTTCTACCCTTGAAGGTATATACTTATATGAGCCATACTCAATGAGCCCATGGCAACAAGCCTTCCATTTGCAGATCAAGATATGCCCTGTTATCGGCTCTTGTTTTGCTAAGCCATGGTTCCAGATGTAATCCCTTCTATATAGGAATCATAGAAATCACCTTGTGTGCCTCTGTTAGCAGGCCTTTTGACTGCAGACTTAGCAGCAGCCACACAACACAGCTCTTCTTCCCCTTTTCAGTGCTCACCGAGACAGCCTTAATTAACAATGCAAGGCAACAAGAAAATCTTTACCTACAAAGATTAATCTTTAAATATTGGAAGAGGCATTTGCTTCTTCAGTTGCACAGACAAAAATCATATAATACACATTACAAAGAGTCAGTCATATATAATATAATAAAAACCACTAATAAAGTTCTAATAACCAACACTAGGGAAATGAAAATTCATGAACTCCCTAGCAGAGAATTCAAAATAATCATTTTAAGGAAACCCAATGAACTATGAGAGATGAAAGAAACCAATAAATGAAATTGATAAAACATACATAATGTGAGAAGTTTAAGTCTGTTTCTTTTCAAAATAAAACAGAATTCTTTAAAAAGAACCAAACAGCAACCTTGAAACTACTATAGTTATTGAACTAAAAAAGTTCAGTAGAGAATTTCAAAACCAGGCACTCACTATCTTGCAGAAGCAAGAATCAGTGAAACCAACATCAAGTCCTTTGAAATTACTCAGGAAAAAGATAGAATGGAAGTCAGCATATATAACTTATGAAATACTATGAAGTGAAACATTCCATCAAGAATGAGAAGTAGGAATCGAACTCACGATGAGTTCGATTCCTGGTACCGATAAAAACGAAAAAAAAAAAAAAAAGTCAAAAAAAAAAAAAAAAAAAAAAAAAAAAAAGAGAGACGTAGAAGACAGAGGGGAAAAAAGCCCAGAAAGTCTTATTCAGAAAAATAGTGTCTAAAGACTTTACAAATCTAAGAAGGCAAATGAACATTTTATTCACAAAACCCAGTGGCTTCAGAATATATACTTCAAAATATGTAACTAGAAGTCTACACCAAGAGATTTACACTAAGATATAACTAGAGTTTTAAAAGTCACAGACAAAGCAAATTTTGAAAGGAACAAGTTAAAATGAAGTGTCACATAAAAGGGAATCCCTGTATAAAGTGTCAGCAGGTTTCATAGCAGAAACCTTGCACACCAAGAAACAATGACATAAAAACGCTTAACGTACTAATGGGGGAAGGAGAAGCCTCCATCCAAGAATAATTTACCTCAAAAACCTATCCATTAAAGAATTAAAAGAGATACTAAAACAGATAAAAACGAAGATGGTCCATTATGATCACAACTACCTAAAAGAATGCTATGGAGTTATTCCAGTTGAAAGAAGAGGCTGACACAAAATATCAGCATATAGAGGTAGAAATTTCACTTTTTAAGATAAATTTAAAGAGAAACTACACTGTAATGCTATACTGGGGAAAATAAATTTTAACACTATATGTAAATTGGAAGACGACAACTTTACAGAAATTTGTTACGTCAAGCACAGTATATAGAGAAATACAGTCTGACATCAATTACATAGTGTGTATGTGGATAAGTGAAGAAAGTATTAAATATCTTAAGTGAGTAGATCAAAACACAAGCCAGATAGAAAATGTAAATTGGAAGACGACAACTTTACAGAAATTTGTTACGTCAAGCACAGTATATAGAGAAATACAGTCTGACATCAATTACATAGTGTGTATGTGGATAAGTGAAGAAAGTATTAAATATCTTAAGTGAGTAGATCAAAACACAAGCCAGATAGAAATCATGTCATAATTGAAAGGAAAGGGAATGAGAGAAACGAGAACATAACTGAAAGAAAATACTTAACTAAATGGCAAGAATAAATTGTCTCATCAGTCATTAAAGATAAGTGAACTAAATTCTCCAATCTAAAGTAGCGAAGTAGATTTTAAAACATAGAATCCAAATATATGCTATTATGGAAAAATAATTTTAGATTTCATACACATAGATGAAAATAAAAAGAAAAAAATAATCCATAAAAATTAAAAGAGAAAAAGTGACTACTAGTCAAAGGAAACTTTAAGTCAAAAAACATAACAGGGGATAATGTAGAATATTATATAAAGATAAAAGTAAATTTTCCAGTAAGTTGTAACAATTATACATACATTATATATGCCTCTAACACTAGAGATTCAGATACATAAAGCAAATATTGATAGTTAAAGGGAGAATTTGACAGTAACACTGCAATAGTAGTGATATTAACGCCCCTTATATATAGCTCAACCAAATGTTAAATAAGGAAATTGAGGATTTTAACACTATCGACAATTGGTCTTACAGGGCAAATACAGAAAAATCCACCCAAGAACAGCAAAATATACATTATTTCTCAAACAGGGGCCAGGGATTTAACTCAGCAGCACAAGCGCCTGCCTGGCAAGCACAAGGTCATGAGTTTGATCCCTGATACAAACAAAAAGTACATATAACATTCTCTATTAAGTTAAAAATAGATGTTAACAAGTTTAAAACTATTGATACCAAGTATCTTTTCCACCTGCAATAAGTGAAACTATTAATCAGTGGTGAATGGAACACTGGAAAATCACTACATATGTGGAACTTAATCTATTCAAACCGTCAGTTACTCAATTGGCAAAGAAAAAATCATAGGATATTAGAAAATGTGTAAGACAAAAGTACAAATAGAACATACTATAGAAAACATGAAATGCTACAAAAGCAATTTTAACTGAAATTTATAGTGGTAGATACAAAAAGAATAGAAATCTTATGTGAAAAAATCTAACTTTCAAGGAACTTCAAAAGTGTACAAACATAGCAAAAGAAAAGAGATAAAGAGCAAAAGAAATGAAATAGAAAATAGTAAAACAACTAAAGAAAATAAAACTAAAAGATTAACAAAATGACAAACCCTTAGCTACAATAGGTAAAAAAAAAAAAAGACTCAAAAATAAGGGGAGACATTATAATTGACAAAATACCACAAAGGATTGTAAAAGATAACTATGAACAATACATTGGGTAATTCAGAAGAAATGTATAAATTTCTGGAAACATACACGATACAAACACTGAATCATGAAGGAATAAAGATCTGAGAAAACTAGTATAAATTAGTAAAGGTATTTAACCAATAACAGAAACTCCCAACAAAAAAAGAGTAGGTCCAGATGGCATTACTGAAGACTTCTGCCAGCCATTTAAGAACACTACATTCGTTGTTTTGTTCTTACTGGTTCTATTCTCTCTGTCTTCTTTGATTTTCATGTCTCATAGTATGGGCAGCTGTTTTGAAGACAAGAGGCATTATGGTAGCTATTGTTGATTTGCTATTACACTGTTTTGAAGTCCTGTATCACTGTTTTGCTTTGATTGGCTGTATTCTGTTTTATTTTGCTTGGTTTTATTTTCTTTAAACTAAAAAAATTATTAAAAAATAAAATAAAGAACAATCTTTCTGAAGCTTTTTTGAAAAAAATTGGAGAGTGAACACTCAATTTATGAGAATGGTAGTTCCCTGATACCAAAATCAGGCAAAGATGCTATAAGAAACAAAAGCTACAAATCAACATCTCTCATTAATATTGATTCCAAAATACTTATCATAATACTACTACACTAAACTGAGCAATGTATCAAAAGAGCTATAGAGGATGATAAAATATGATTATTTCCTGGGATGCAACGATGACTCAACATAGGAAAATCAATCCAAAAATAGACC